AAAAAGCCCAATTTCCTAAATGGCATCCCAAGGCCTAATATGGCCTAACTTCCTAATTGGGCCCAAAAACCATCATGGACCTAAGTCCAAGAAAGCCCAAAATCTATCAATGGCCCAAAGTCAGAAGTCCAACGGCCCAACAAGGCCCAAAATGGACATCCTGGGGAGTACGCCATGCGTACCAGAAACGTACGCCCCACGTACTCACCCACAAAGCACAACGTACAAGTTGTTGATGCATGATACCGATATTACGCTGAGCGTACTCCTGTGTACGCCCAACGTACTCCTCAAAGGCCAAATATCCATATTAAGTTCTTATTGGGTGAAAACAAGTCGTCCAAACATAGATCTGATCCCTAGAAAAGGTCTTAAACCATAAAGTTGCCAACTTTACTCCCTTACATGCCTTAATGTGACCCAAAACCCATTTCTATCCCTCAAAACTTATAATATGTACACCAACTTAATCATGACTCACCCAAACCCATCAAGATAACATTTTTACGCACCTACAACCTCAGAAGTGCTAAGATCCAACGTTCTAAGCTCTTGGAGTAGCTCATACTCACAAAGATTACTCTAAGGACCAAAATAAACCCAAAACATACCCCAGGCTAGATCTAGCACATAGAGTCAACAAGTTAGAAACTTTATACCTCCTAGAAGTTGATGAAGATGATTAGAGCATGGATCCACAAGCTCCAAGCCAAGAAATGCTTCCAATAAGAACTCCTTCTTCTCCATGGCACACCAAAAGCCTCAAAATGCTCAAATGGAAGCTAGGGTTTCAAATATAGGGTTGAATGGGATGGAGGTTGAAGATAAGAGGGGTTGGAGTGGAGTTAAGGTCATTAAATAGGGTCCAAGACCCTAAATCAGGGTTTACATGAGGCTGGAGTACGCCCACCATACTTTAAATGATGCCCGCAATCCTTCTGCTTAGTACGCCCAGCGTACCAGGCTTGACCTTAAACCCACCCACTTCCGAAGGTCATAACTTATTCGTTCTAAGTCCGATTTCGACGATCCTTATATCCACGAAAAGGTAATGAGAAACTTTACACTTCTATCAACCCCCTTGCCATAAAACTTTCCGAATAAAATCTAGCCCGAACTGTCACTCTACCGATATACTCTTGGACTCCAATACACAAACCGAACTCCCAGATCCTCTAACCTATATTATCCACACTTAAAAGGGTCCAAGTCTCTTTCCCAAAGGCCCTAAGCCTTATGATAATCGGTCTTCGGGTCACGACCCTGAATTATGAAATAATTCGAAATAGGGTGTTACATAGGGTTTTTCTTTTACAGGTTTAGAGGTGATGAAGGCTGAGGGCGAAGGAGATCCTAGCCCCTCACTACCTTTAAATAGGGCCCAAGTCCGAATTTAAGGTTTTGCATTTGATCAAGCGTCACGTCTTGACACTTAAATGACCCTTCCCGCGTAATGCTGCCATGTCATGTCGTGATGGTGCCTCCCTCACGCCGTGACCACCTTTAAATCCATATTTACTTAATTTTCGTACCTCTAGGATCTGAATTTTACAGTTATGGGAGTTTCAAATAAATATGGTTAAAGAAATTGAATAAATAAACAATTAAGTAGTTCTTAAATTAATTGGGTTTAAAAATACTTAACTGTCGAACTTTCTAATAAACATATCTTTATCATATTAATTATATTTAACAACATATATATATATATATATATATATATATATATATATATATAATATATTTTTTTTCTTGGGCAACGTACAAGTGTTCGATTAGTTTTGTTATAATCTGAGAAAAAATGTGACAGCCACAGACCGCTATTTGAAACAATAATCAAAGGTAATAGTGTATGTAGTTACCACGATCAAAATTTCAATAGCAGCCACAGACCGCTATTTGAAATCACAGTTATCACGATGGTATAGCGGTGATATAACAACTTTTTAATATTATATGTAATTTATAATTTTATGTTATATATTTATATAGAATTTATATAGTAGTGTATTAATACTATAAGTTTATACTGAATTGATATCATTAAAACTAAAAAGTCATATAAGATCATAACTTCATAAATTAAAAGTGAGTTATCACTGTGACTATGTGAGGTAATACTTGGTAAATGGTAAAGACTAAATCACATATTCACAAATTAATGAGTTTATAAGTGTGAAACACTGAAAGAGAAATATTTAGCATTAAACATATTTAATCAATTACTGAAAGAACCCAAACTTTCATACTAAAGACATTGTTACTCCAAGTTACTCCAAAACATGCTATATGCATATTCAAAAATAATATTTTACATTGATAATTTGATTACAAAAGACTGGATACAAACCGACTAAGTTTTAGTATATTACATAACTAACCAGGATATTAAAGCTTTTATACAAACGTAAACCCAAGTACAAAAGTAATAGTATAAACTATTCTAAATCTTCCAGCAGTATATGACTATACTGAATGTTTATCACCTGCAATAATTAAACACTGAGAGGGATAAGCGGTGACGCTTAGTGAGTTCAATAATAAATACAATATAACGTTATGCCATATATATACCAATATGACAGAAACAAAGGGGGACAAAGAACAACAAAGGCAGATGAGTATCATATGATATGCTTTCCATATCAACGAATAATCTGATTCAAAGATTTATAATCAATGAGAGATAACAATTTCAATACTTGATATACATCAATAAAACTTTTGCCCATATGGCATGGAAAAATAACCAATTTCTGAATAAACATTTTGGCTAGCAAATTATAGGCTTTCAGCCCTGCCTAGCCTTCTGCCAATGCCAAAGGAATGCTTAATCATTCACTTCATGGTCAAAGGCTACATACCAATACCCAAGTGATGCTTAACCATTCACTTCAAGTCAAAGGTATAACTCCATTAGTATTCCGTTAGTATACAAGCCATGCTTTACATAGCCAAAGGTATAAAACCAGAATAACACAGGAAATCATATTGAACATATAACACATAACATACAATTGTTCATATATATTGAACTCACTGTGAAATAACCGAAGGAATAAATGATATTTGGGCAGCACTTCGACTCTAAAAATGACTTTCTGTGACGAAACCGAGGATTTTAGTTGAAAACCGGCCTTACGCGGGCAGAGTCTCGACTTGAAAATATGATTTTCTCGGGAACTTTGGAGCGTCGGGACTTGCTTCGGGTGTCAGTGATGATATCAGGGAGTCGGGGGGTTAAAATTGGGCTAAAGAAGGTTTTTAGAGTGAAAAGAAATAGATTTTGTAAACAAAATACGGGCAGCCTCGCATTCCTTTTATAGTTGGCCGAAGCCTCGGAGTACGCTGGGCGTACTTCGGTATGCTGGGCGTACGAGGCGTGGCAGCTGCTCAGATCTTGTGCCTCGGACGTGTCATGCAAGCGTAATACGTGTCTGTATGCGAAGGAGAGGGGGAACGTGACCGACTTTTGACCTAGTCCGAGTACGTTGGGTGTACGGCTTCGGATAAGTCTCAAATTTTTATTTAAAAACTTCAAAAATTCATATCTTTTGCATACGAGCTCCGTTTTTGACGTTCTTTATATCCACGCGTAGGTGAAATTATGATCTACAACTTTTGTTTAGACTCCGCCGGCTAATTTTGACTTTATTTTTAATATTATATTTTTAACGGGTCGGGACAGGAAAAGTTCGTTAAAAATTCATAACTTCTTCATCCGACGTCTGTTTTCGTCTGTCTTTTTACCGTTGTACTACTATTGACGAGACCTTCGATTCTTGTTTAGGTTGTGTTGGCTAAAAATCACTCGATCTTTATTTCGAGTTTTTAGTTGTCTACTGCTATACCGAATCTTGAAAAAATCATAATTCCTCATACGAAGTCAGATTTTGACGTTCTTTTTATAAAAATTATCGGTTTAACGAATACTACGACTTTCATTTAGATTACTAAATGTAAAAAGTAGTTTATCGAAAACTCACTTTTTACGTCATACGGCGTCGAACCGGTTCTGTCACGAAACTTTAAGAAGTCATAACTTCTTCGTTATAACTCAGATTTCGATGAGGTTTTCGCATAAATGTTTCTAACAAAATTATCTACAACTTTCAATAATAAAATTTTACTTATTTCAAATTTTATATTTTCGTTAAATTTCAATATTTGACATTTGATTGATATCTCATAAGACTTCCAATATTTTCCGAGTGATTCTAAACATAGTTTTACTTCATTTCTAGTAAAAACTATCTGTTAGAACTCAACGCTCAATATCATATAATATTTCATAATATTATTTATTTTTAAACTACAAAACACGATAACTGAACGTGTATGTTACAATTACCATTCAAAAATTCACAGGTGTAGGTAGATCATCGCAACTTAAATCATCGTGGTTTCCAAGCAGTAAAAAAAGAGACGAGAAAGATGTTACATGTCGTTCTTTGCTTTGAATGCTTTGTACTTTGTAGTTAATTAGTTTTGTTAGTTGGGCTTATTAAAATGCAAGTGTAGTGACTCATTAAAAAGAGATTTAACTTTAAGTAGCTCACAATTGATTTTTTCTTTGACAAAATAGCCAAATGACCAAAATGTGAACGAAAGTATAAATTCAGGTATAGCGCCGCTATAGCGGTGATGAGGTTCGCGATAAATAGCGTCGCTAATAGCGCTAGCGCTATTTTGAAAATAACGGTTCTGTACCACTGCGAAACGCGCCACTAGGGCACTATTGATAGCATATGTAATAACAAACCTATAATGTAGATCATTTTTAAAATAATAAACTTTGTTTTGATTTAAAAAATACGTCACCTTTTATATTTTTCGATTTTAATACAATAGGGTTGAGGGTTTTCTAAGAAGGCCAGAAGGGGGAGGTTAGGTTTTGTACCACTCAAGTCTCAAACATCATCTTCACTGTAAACAAGTGGAGAAAAAGTACAGAGAGAGAGAGAGAGAGAGAGAGAGAGAGAGAGTAATAAGGTGAAATTTATTACTGACGTTTTTCTTGCCCTTATGAAGAAAAAAAGGAGATAATCATAAACTAAAAAACAAACCCCATTCGACTCGTACGACTACACCTTCCAATTGACTCCACCACCCTTTTCACATCTTCTTTTATCATCAGATCTATTTGCTCTCTCTTCCAGATCTGGGCGTCTCTTCTTCGACTTCATCATCAAGTTTCTGTTAGATCCAATCCTCACCTCTTTGTAGAAACCCCTCACTGGATTTTTGATCAGGGTGTTATGAACTCGTAGAGGTTGGTATTTTTTGACCTATATTTGTTCCTTTTTTAAATTTCTGTATGTTTATAGCTAAGCTAGTTTCGAATTATCGTAGGAGCAGCTCAAAAACATTTGAAAAAAAATGGGAAAAATCAAATTTGGGAGGTTTGATTCAGTTTGTGGAATAAAAGAGGGGAAATAGGAGTATTTCATCGGATCAAAATAGCGTTGATTATTTTATTCTTCAGCTAGTGATTCTGAGAAGCTCCGAATTTTATAGGAATTCGGATACTTTATTTGGTGGAAAAAATGGAAGAGGTTGGTACTCAACTAGCTCCTCCTTTATATATGTACAACACAATCGGTGCCGGAAGATTTCCCGATGCCCATCCGATGGCCAAGAAACGAAGCCTGCCGTATCAAAACCCAAACCTTATTCAACATCAGCAACAACAACAGTATCTACAAAGGTTAATCCCAACTTTAAATGAGCCACGGAACAGTTGGAACCCTAAAAATTGGGAATGGGATAGTTCAAGACTCGTGGCTAAACCCTTGGATATGATGGAGGTTTCTAGAGAACAGCAACAGCAACAACACCATCATCAAACTGCTGTTAATCCTCCCAATCCCGATGGGTCAAAGAAGAGTCCAGTTGGTCAAAGGGAAGAAGACGAACGCCTCTTGTTGAAGCTTGGGGGTGGTGAGGAGGCAGCGACCAGGCCTAGCAAAAGGGTCCGATCTGGTTCACCTGGCAGTGGTTGTGCCGGGAATTATCCAATGTGTCAAGTTGATAACTGCAAAGAAGATCTATCCACTGCTAAAGACTACCATAGGCGTCACAAGGTTTGTGAGGTTCATAGTAAAGCTGGAAAAGCCCTAGTTGGAAAACAGATGCAAAGATTCTGTCAACAGTGTAGCAGGTTGGTTGATTCTTCAATCCATCACTTTCTGTTTCTTGAAACCTTTGCGCTAAATGACTAACTTACCCTTTTCACAAACTTGTTTCTAGGTTCCACCCGCTTTCTGAGTTTGACGAGGGGAAGAGAAGCTGTAGGCGTAGACTTGCAGGTCACAACAGGCGAAGAAGAAAGACTCAGCCAGAAGATGTTGCTTCACAGTTATTAATCCCTGGAAATGGTGATAAAAATGGCGCCAATGACATGGATATTGTTGGTTTGCTAACAGTTTTAGCTCGTGCTCAAGGTAACATTATTTATACGGTTATACCCCTCCTGTTTGAATTTAAACTTTCAGTACCCTGATATTTGTTCTTAAAAATATTAGGAAATGCAGAGGACATGAGCAGGAATTCTTCACCATTACCTAATAAAGATCAGCTTATGCAAATTCTCAACAAAATAAACTCTTTGCCTTTACCGGTTGACCCAGGGTCAAAACAACCAGTTCCTGGAAGGTTGACTAATGTTGACCAAGAGAAAACCTCTTCCGAGGTTGAAAAAGTCAACAAAAAAACCAGTTCATCAACCATGGACTTTCTTGGTGTTCTTTCAGGCTCTTCGGCTGCACCTGAACCATTGTCACAAAAAAGGAACCAAGTGATTGAGGCTGATAAGAACAAGACTAACTCTGGTTGTGTTAACCAAACCATGGTTCATTCTGGAGGAGAGAGAAGTAGCACTAGTTTTCAGTCTCGTGAGGATTCAGATTGTCAAGTGATGGACACACCTCTTAATTTACAGTTACAGCTGTTCAGTTCTTCACCTGAAGATGATAGTCCACCTAAGCTAGCATCAAGCAGGAAGTATTTCTCATCTGACAGTAGTAATCCAATGGAAGACAGGTCACCATCATCTTCGCCACCTGTCGTGCAAAGGCTTTTCCCAACAAAAGCTTCAAGAGAGAGAATGAAGCCTGAAAGTATGTCAACTAGTGGTGAAGTTACTGCAAATGTTAAAGCCACCATGTCTCTGGAGCTTTTTGGAGGGATGAATAATGGAGCTGATAATGTTTCCATTCAAAGCTCACCTTACAGAGCTGGGTACACGTCATCATCTGGTTCTGACCAATCACCTTCCAGCTTAAATTCTGATCCTCAGGTTGTTACACAATTAATACATTTATGAATCTTTTCTTTACTAGGAAGTCTAATTTGGTGTTGTTTTATAGGATCGAACCGGGCGATTGTCGTTTAAACTGTTTGACAAGGATCCGAGTCATTTGCCTGGGTCACTACGGACACAGGTGAGAAGGGGTGTTTTGGTCATTTTGACTTGCTAATGAGAAATGAGAAAATTCTTGCTCTATTTTAACATGGTTTTGGTTTCTTGATTTTAGGTTTACAATTGGCTTTCTCAAAGTCCATCAGAGATGGAAGGATACATAAAGCCTGGTTGTGTGGTTCTCTCAATTTATTTGTCCATGTCATCGTCTTCTTGGGATCAAGTGAGTAAATTAGTTATTAGTTATTAAAGCAGTGATCTTTCTCTTCTTTTTAGGGTTTTTACCGAGTTGTGAATTTTCTTGCAGCTTGAAGGAAACTTTCTTCAGTATATCAATGCTCTTGTGCAAGAATCTGGTACCGATTTCTGGGGATCTGGTAGATTCTTAGCACATACAGAAAAGCAAATAGCTTCACATAAAGATGGTGAGTCATCAGTCATGTTATTATATCTTGTTTTACACTTATATAATCGTTCCTTTGTCTAAATCTTTCATGTTATGATATTTATCAGGCAAGGTCCATTTGTTCAAATCTTTGAAAGCATGGAGTTCACCACAGTTGATTTCCATTTCACCTCTAGCTGTTGTATCTGGAAAGGAGACTTCTTTTGTCCTAAGAGGCCGAAACCTAAGGACACCTGGCACCAAGTCTGTACCTATTCCTATACTAAATTAAGCTCAAATTATTAACAGAGAGTGAAAATGTTAAAAAAAATGAATTTCATGTTGTATCACAGAATCTATTGCACACATGCGGATGGATGTATACTGGAGGAAGCAACAGAATCAATAGATCAAGATTCTTCATATGAGGAAATTAGCACACGTAGGTTCACAATTTGTGCACCTAGTGAACGTGGTCGATGTTTCGTCGAGGTATATTTATATATAACAATATTATGGATCTTCATGTTATTATCAGAGACTTATCTTTTGAATATTCATATGAACAGATAGAAAACGGTTTCAGAGGTACGAGTTTTCCTATAATTATTGCGGATTCTACACTCTGCCAAGAATTGAACCTTTTGGAGGCTGAATTTGGTGAGGTCCAAAATAGGCAACCAAGTTTCGTGAAGGAAACCATACACTTTTTAAATGAGATTGGATGGCTTTTCCAGAAAAAGAATGGGGGATCCGGATCTCATTATAGTCTCACTCGATTCAAATTCCTTCTTGTGTTCTCGGTTGAAAGAGATTTGTGTGGTTTAGTGAAAACTCTTTTAGGGATTCTTCTTCAAAAAGGCTCGGGGGGCATTACAGAAGATGATTCATCAATGGAGATGTTATATACAATTAACCTTCTAAACCGGGCTGTTAAAAGAAAATGCAAAAACATGGTTGATTTGCTCATAAATTATTCAGTAGCAGGGGATACAGATACGGATTCTGCTGCTTCCAGAAAGTACATTTTCCCGCCAAATCTAGCGGGACCCGGCGGCATCACCCCCTTGCATTTGGCTGCTTGCACTTCTGATTCGGACGATATGGTTGATGCCTTGACAAACGACCCGAATGAGGTATTATTATTATTATTATTATTCCCATTTTGCCTTTGTTGGTGATTGTGGTTAAAAGAGTAAGTGTTAATAATTAGTTTTTGGTATATCTTAGGTTGGGTTGCTAAGCTGGAATTCTTCTTTGGATGCAAACGGGCTGTCGCCATTTGTATACGCGACCATGAGAAACAACAACTCATACAACACTTTAGTGGCACAAAAACTTGCAAACAGAATAGCGGGTCAAGTCTCGGTTCATATCTCAAACGAGATAGAGCTTCAAACCTTAAGGAGCGTTGACCACCATGAGCTTAGTTTCAGAGTGAGGGAGCAGGTGGGAACAAAATCTTGTTCAAAATGCGCGATTGTAACAGCTAAACACCCGAGAAGAATCCCGGGTTCACAAGGATTGCTTCATCGTCCGTATATCCACTCCATGCTTGCAATAGCTGCGGTTTGTGTATGTGTGTGTTTGTTCCTTCGTGGGGCCCCCAATATCGGTTTGGTTGCTCCGTTTAAGTGGGAGAATTTGAACTTTGGTTCAATGTAAGAAAGAAAGAAACATATGGCACCACCTATGAAAAAGAATAAGTAGAGTTGATTAGAGAGCATAATTTAACTTTTGGGAAAGGTGAATAAGAAAAACGGGATCATTGATAACATTGCATGAGATAACGACGGTTTTTGTCCCCTGTTCTTGGTCTTGTACGTTCAAGTTCTTATTTGAAACCAAATAGAGACTTGTAGTAAGTAACATCAGGGGCAGATATAAAAGACAATTGTGTCTTCTGGTTGATGTTATTAACCGTGGCTGACTTGTTACTAGTAGTTATTGTCTTTTAAGTATGTAAGTTTTTTACTTTTTTACTATAATAGCAGATAGCGTTTGTCTTCTCTTGTTTCTGTATATTGTTTTGCCAAATGGAAAAGGATCATATATTATATGTAATGTCTTCTCTTGTTCTTTGCTCAATAGATTATTTTTCATCATCTTTTGATTCTAAAACCAACCAACCAACCAACCAACAACGCAAGATATTCATATAGAAATATAATAGTGTTTTTGTCGTATTGTTTTGGGTTAGGTTAGGTATAAAAAAGCATAAACGGCCGGCTTTAAAGAGCTCATATTTGGCACGTAATTGAGAATGAATATGTCATACGTAACCGACAAACAAATGTGAAGAATTTACGCCATCGTTTTCTTGTCTTTTGTATTGTATTCATCTTCTAGAACTTTTCCATAAAGGAAATTCAACAGAAACCCACTCAAGTCCTACTACCATGGCGAAAGTGGAGGTCGACGAGTGTCGAGGGGTGCTCAAAGTTTACAGTGATGGATCAATATGGCGATCAACTGAACCGAGCTTTCGAGTCTCTGTGGTTGACGATGGTTCAGTGCTTTGGAAAGACGTTCAGTTTGATCAACCAAACAACCTCCACCTCCGTCTTTACAAACCGGCTTCCGCCGTGGCCAAAAAGCTACCGGTGTTTTACTACATCCACGGCGGCGGTTTCTGCATCGGGTCACGAACATGGCCAAACTGTCAGAACTACTGTTTTAAACTGGCACTGGCTTTACAAGCTGTAATTGTGGCTCCTGATTACCGGTTAGCCCCTGAGAACCGGCTTCCGTTGGCGGTGGAGGATGGGTTCACTTCCGTGAAGTGGCTCCAATCGCAGGCGGTGGCAGCTGAGCCTGACCCATGGCTGGTTGACTCGGCAGACTTTACACGAGTCTTCATCTCCGGTGACTCTGCTGGTGGTAACATTGCGCATAATATGGCGGTTCGGTTGAGGGCTGGTTCGAAGAGCTTGGAACCGGTTCAGGTTAAAGGCTATGTTCTCTTGGCACCCTTTTTTGGTGGGACCCAGTTAACGGAATCCGAGGCTCATGGTCCTAAAGACGCTTTCTTGAATTGGGAACTCATCGATAGGTTGACTTTACACTTTACACCCTTTTTGTTCTCAAATGTATGATTATGATTATCATCGGTGTTTTGAACCGGTTGATGTGTTTGTTGGTTAGGTTTTGGAGGTTATCGATTCCGGTTGGGGACACCATGGACCATCCTCTAGTAAACCCGTTTGGACCCGTTAGCTTGGATCTTGAACCGGTGGAGTTGGAGCCAATGTTGGTGGTTTGTGGGGGTGCTGACCTATTGAAGGACAGAGCTAAAGACTACGCAGAAAGATTGAAGAAGTTGGGAAAAAAGGTGGAGTATGCAGAATTTGAAGGTCAGCAACATGGGTTCTTCACCATAGATCCAGATTCACAAGTATCCAAGGAATTGATGGAGATAATCAAAGACTTCATCAAACAGTATTCCATTTAATGATTGTATGCCTGTGGAAAGTTTGTAAAAGTTTCAATCCTTATGATAAAATTGAAAGAACGAATGTGGAATTAGTAATGAGTTTGTGTGATTTAGCGATTCTGTGTAGAATAAGTGAATGAAAAATGATTTTAATAGATATCATTTTTAGCTTTCTCTCTTGAAACTACGTTGAGTGGGTAATAGTGATAGAACGAATGTTACTATTTTAAAGTTCTGTCTAAGACCGGTTTCAAACGAAGAATTGAGGCAAGTGTTGTGAAATGGAAGTTTAGATCATGAAAAGCTTTTCAACTGTTAGACCATGAGATATGGGGGACGGTTTCCCTCCACCTAACCATCATCTCGTACCTGCAACAATAGAAAAAGAAAGAGGAAAAGAAGAAGAAAATGATTGGCTGCAGTCTTCCATGGTATTTATCATGAGACACCATGATTGTGGCACTGTATGACTGTAGCATCGGAGATGATATGCACGAACGTGACAAGGTTGCCACCAGACCATGAATCCTCCCTCTGTGACCCGTATACCCTTTGGTGATAGGGTTTGTTTGGTTGGACAAAATGTTGATTACTTTGTTGAAACGGAGACCGTTATTAATCTGAAAAAACGGATGAATGGAATGAAAGTTTATTGACAATGACAAAAATCCCTTAGTAAGTAAAATGCATATAATTATCATTTTTTACAAACTTAGCTTGTAGAAAATATATTTTATATTGTTATAACTAATATGCAGGGGCGGCTCAACCGCAAACAAAAAAGTTGAGGCCCTTTAGATAAGCAAATGGATTCAAACTTGAAACCCTTGGTTTACTAAAACAACGCTTTTACCACCAGACCAAACTCTAACTTGTATTTGTAACCTAAGAAATACGTATAAATACATATATAATTAATAGAATAAGTTTTAAAATTGGGGGCCCTAAGCCCTTAGTTTTGCAAAGGGTAGAGCCGACCTACTAACATGAAATAAATGAAAATTTACTAACATAAATAAAGTATATATAGATTAACGATCTTATAATATAACACCCAAATAAATTTGTTTAACAAAAAGAATATTAGCATGATAGCATCCAATCAACATGAATTAAAAAAATGAGTTTGCAAAATAATGGGAATGAAACTTACATAAACCAATACACCCTATCCATTTCTTTACAGGTAACCTTCAAAAAGTTTTAGAGATTGCTACTTTGGCTAATGGTGATAGTACTAAAAGGAAACCTTGTTTATTTTCATTGGGCCTACAACTTTTACTAACAGAGACATAAGATTAGAAAACAACCTTTTGCCTTGAAGTTATTTCATTTAGACATTTCATCCAACATTTAACAATTAATGTGCACATATTTCTTTAAGAAAACTAACAGCTGCAAATGAAATTAAATCGAGTGTCGGAAAACGAATGACAAAGAAAATGTGGGGAAAAAAATCCAATACATACTTTTCGGTTCACATTGTTCTTGAGCACTTCTTTAGTTTGGACTTGAAATCAGTTATCAATCTACTTTGTGTGTATAATTTTGTTGCAGATTGGATAGATTTTGATTGTGTATTTGCAATTTTGACTGGTTACAAAATTCGATAAAAAGGGTAAAATAGGTAGTTTCCATTACTCGGGGGTTAGGAAGAATGAAAAACATGTAGGAATTACATTCCTTATTGAATACATATATAATTCCATTCCAATCATCAACCAAACATGCATTCTTTCATTCCTTCTGAATATTCCGTTCTGTTCCTTGCATGATTACCACATACTAAAGAGGGCTTGATCATTTAAATGGAAACGTGTCCATGAGACGGTTAAAGGATCATGTCCTGCTTGGGACGTAGATGTAGTTAAGCAACAGAGTAAGGGTGTGTGTGTGATAGCAAAACAAATCGAACAACACTAATAAGAGTTGGTTAATTTTGTTCGTTTAAGTTAATCGGACAGACGAATGAATATGAACAAATAAACTAACTATTTTTTTTGTTCATGTTCGTTTGTTTAACAAATTACCGTGTTTGTGTTTGTTTTACAAAAACATAAATTTACATAAACAAACATAGATAAATATAAACAGATGTAACTGTTACGTCTCATGTTAGGTTTCAGAGTCTATATGTGTTGTGTCTAAGTTTGATTGTGAAAGCTTTCACAATTATATCTTAGTCTTCAATGTATAATTTTGATAGCATGTTTGGTTTTAGAGTTTTGTACAACTTAGGTTTCGTAGTGAATATTGTGTAACTGTTTGACAGTCTGTCACTGCCTAGGTGTCGTAACCTTATTGGTTATTCTCTAACCGACTCCCTTTGTAACATCCCGAAATTCAGGTAAAACTATTTAACCCTTCCATTTTGTCAAGTTGTCAAGATTGGTCCCTTGAGAGAGTTCTTGTAGCAAATGAGTACGCTGCGCGTACTCATGCGCTTAATTTGGACGCGGACTCGCCTGGGTACGCTGGGCGTACCCAGGGTTACGCTGGGCGTAACGGGTCCAGATGCAAACCCTAAATGTTTGGCTTGTGCACTATTTAAAGGATGCTAAGGCTCATTTCTCAGCCTCCATATCAGAGAGTGAAACCCTAAGAGAGAGCCTTCCATCGTCCTTAGCTTGAGTGTGTGTATTTTGGAGCTAAAAGTGTCTTGGTGTGTTAGTGAAGAAGAAGGAGAAGAGCTTGTGGAGGCTAGGGCTTGAAGTGCAAGTTTGGATCTGAGATCTTCAGAGAAAGGAGCTTCATCTAGAGGTATAAAGTTCAAAACTTTCCTCTTTATTTGGTTTAATGTTGCATGAACCATTTCTAGGGTTAAAAGTCCCAAAGGTGGAGACTTTATGAGTGTAATGTACTCCATGGACCTAGATCTGTCCCATTTCAGTGATATTTGTGTTATAGATCCATAAAAATTCCATCTTGGTCGTTGTTATGAGGTCATGCTTGAATTATGAGCTTTCTAGAGTTGGGAAATGGATTATGGGTGTTAGTGACTTGTCCAGCCATGCACAGGCTTAAAGTCACCAACTTTATGGATTAAGAGGTTTAGAAATGGTCAGATCTAGAAGTTGGACGTGTGACTTAACTGTTTAAGACCTCAAGAGCTTAGAGTCTGAAACTGGGAGTTACGCGGGGCGTAATCCCAGTACGCGCGGCGTAAGGGGTCGCGCACCCTGTTTCTGTGAGGTCGTCGGGTACGCCCAGCGTACAGGTTCGGTACGCGCAGCGTAACCCGAAGAGTTGACTTTTAGGGTTTGGTCAACATTTGGGTCTTTGAGCCATGAGAGGGGTAAAATGGTCTTTTACCCTTCTGAGAGTGCTAAGAGAGGGAACAGTCTAGCCTTGAGAGTTGTATTGATTAGAGTGCTTATTCCATGTGATTAGGCGGAGGCTAGAGCAGATTTTACCGAGTTCGAGATTACCGAGTTACCCGAGGTGAGTCTTCTCACTATATTGTACCTGGAAGGGTACCTATGTGTGACCGGAAGGTCTTATATTCTATGAGATGTATGTGCTATATGTTGATATGTGATATGTATGCGTTATGTATGCTATGTATGATAAGGACCGGAAGGTCAAGATGATATGGACCGGAAGGTCAAGATGACATGGACCGGAAGGTCAGGAGGTTACGGACCGGAAGGTCGATATGGGTAGGACCGGAAGGTCTACCGGGATTCGGGACGGAAGTCCCCTGAGACACTTGGACCGGAAGGTCCCACAGAGTTATGGCCTGGAAAGGCGTATGTGTTGTATGTGGTATTTTGGGGAACTCACTAAGCATTTATGCTTACAGTTGTTGTGTTATGTGTTTCAGGTACTAGCGAGGATCGCGGGAAGGCGCCGGCATGATCCGCACACACTTATAGAGTTTATGTTATTGAGATTCTGGGGACATGCTTTGTTATGACACAGTGATACATTATGTTTTGTGATTTTTCATGTGATTGAAAGTATGATTTAAAAATGAAAAATTGTTTTGAAAAATTACGTCGTTACAAGTTGGTATCAGAGCCTTGGTTTGAGGGATTCGGGTGCATCTTCGGATGAACCTGAACTCAAACTGAGGAATTGAGAAAGTTTTTCATAAAATAAACAATTTTTCTAAAAGAGCAAAAGATTTTGAGAAAGGCAGAAGGAAGCAGTGTGTACGATCAGCCAGCGCCCGAACGGTGATTTCCCAAAATACCCTTACATTATGTGTTATGAGATATGTTATGATATGATATGCATGCTAGAGTTGGCTAGGTATTCATATTAGGACTAGAGTGGCCTGATTTTGTGATGCCTTAGCCTAGGAAGGATTTTGCTGCTATGTGATGCTTGAGAGCGAGTAGGTAGCAGTGAGGAGCTGATGAGAGGTCTACCGAAGGGTAGCCTATGCCAGCGAGATATAGAGTACTCGTGATCTGGGATCCAAGGAGGAGGACTTAGGGTGAATACTGATGCGGTGTGGACGGTAGTATAGGGCCCATACTACTGAAGACACCGGAGCAGTGCGCACTCTAAGTAAGAATCCTTTGGGTACTAGAGAACAAGTAGGGTTGAGTTATCGAGTGCGAGTACGCTCGAGCGAGTCTCTGATATTATTATGTTGTATTTCAGAGGCAGTATGGTTGGGACACGCCATAGACCTGAGCCGAGCGGCGTGAGTGACGAGGAGCTTCGTCAGATGATCCACGATGAGGTGGCGGCGGCGATTCGGGCCGAGATTCCGGAGATGTTTGGGTCTATCAAGACCACATTGATTGAGACTTTTGATGAGCGGTGCGCAGCAGTGACTGAGGCTGCGGCTACTGCAGCAGTGGTTGCTGCCAGACCTCAGGGAGGTGACTCGTTGTTGCTTCGGGAGTTCAGCAACACGAAGCCACCAGAGTTTGACGGGACGCAGGATCCGATCGCTACGATGAGATGGATTTCTGATATCGAGGGATGCTTCTACACGTGTTCATGTTCGGAGCATCTGAGGGTACGGTTCGCGTTGAACCAGCTTCGCTTGGGAGCGAAGGATTGGTGGAAGTTCGTGGCGGCGAGCTTCACTCTTGCAGAGATTTCAGCGGTGACCTGGGAGAGGTTCACCACCATGTTCAGAGATGAGTATGTTCCTCCTGTGGAGAGGGAACGCTTGGTTCAGGAGTTCTTGACCCTC